GTTACTGGTTTAACAACTGGACTGAAAGTCTCTTGATAATCAAAGCCTTCTTGTTGGTGAAAGCCCTTAGCCACAAGTTGAGCTTTGTACTTTAGAACAGTGCCATCAGGTTTAAACTTAGTTCGAAATACCCATTTGCACCCAATAGGTAGTCTGTTAGAGGAAGAGAGACTAGTTGCCAAGTATTGTTTCTAAGAAGAGCTTCATATTCATCTTCAATAGCTTGAAGCCAGTGTGGTTGAGACAGGGCTTGAGATACAGAGGTAGGTTCCAAAGAAGCTGTAAAAGCTTTAGGTTTGAAAATACCAGTTTTGGCTCGAGTGGTCATATTATGATTGTTGATCAGTGGTGCTGCAATTGGAGGAGAACTATTTGTTATATTGGAGCTGATTCTGCAATCAGTGTTAGTGGGAATGGAGGATCTGCAAGTAGAGTTAGTGGTGCTAACAGAAAAATCAGTATTAATGGCACTCAATATAGGAGAATTAGGTAATATATGAGTTTGATGAGAAGGAACTGTGACAGTAGGGATAATAGGTGGTAGTGAAGGTTGAGAAATTGAAGTGGAAGAAATAGATTTTGGTGACTCTTTGTAGGGAAAAATTGACTCATCAAATAGAACATGTCTATCTATAATAATTTGACCAGTTGGACTTAGGCACTTGTATCCTTTATGTTTTAGATTGTATCCTAAGAAAATACATTTGGCTGATCTAAAATCAATTTTGTGTCTGTTGTATGGTCTCAAGTAGGGATAGCAAGCACAACCAAAGGTTTTTAGGTAGGTGTAGTCAGGGGTTTTATGGAATAGGATTTCAAATGGGGATTTTTGGTTGAGTGTAGGTGTAGGCAGCTGATTGATAACAAAGGTAGCTGTGAGAAATGCATCTTCCCAAAATTTGGTAGGTAAGTTTGAGGCTGCCAATAGAGCTAGACCAGTTTCAACTATAGGTCTATGTTTTCTTTCTGGTTTCCCATTTTGTTGATGAATGTATGGACATGTTAATCTATGTATAATTCCTTGCTGTTTTAATAAAGATGATAGTTTCAAATATTCTTTTCCATTGTCGGTTTGAAGTGCTTTTAATTTTGTATTAAGTTGTAATTCTGCCATTGTTTTGAATTGGGAAAATATGTCAAATGTTTGTGATCTGTTTTGCATGGGATAAATCCAAGTGTAGTTTGAGTAGGCATCTACAAATATAATATAGTATTTTGAACCAGAATTACTTTCTATTGGTGCTGGACCCCAGATATCAGATAGAACAAGTTCCAATGGATTTTTGTAGACAATGGTAGTATTTGATAAATGTAGTTGATGCATTTTTGCCATACAACATGCACAACACAATTTTGAATCTGTTTTATTTATAAATGGTATATTACAGTGCCTAAGAACCAACTTTACAGTTTGAAGAGAGGCATGAGCTAATCTCGAATGCCAAAGATCTAGAGTAAAACTTCTAGATGTATTATTACAAATGATATTTGAAATAGCAGTAGTATGAGGACTTGAAACAACTTCAGTAGTGTTTCTTTTGAGATTTTGTGGATCATCATCGAATGCATAAAGGCCATTCTTAAGCTTGCCTTGGAGAAGGATCTCCTTGGTAGCCTGGGATTTAACATAACACACATTAGCATGGAATTCAAAGAAGACATTATGCTCTTTAGCAAATTGAGAAACACTCAATAGATTATTGGATAGGCTAGGAACATGAAGTAAATTTGACAATTTAAATTACATAGGACAGATAGTATAGTGTAAAATTGAGTGTCCAATATTTTTGATTTTCAAGTTAGAACCATTACCTACTTGAACAGCTTCCTGACCATTGTACTTTGTTTTGTTCATCAGGTTATTTGCATCAGGAGTAAAATGATTGGTAGCTCCTGAGTCAGGATACCAGCTTGAATCTGTGGCTGAGAAGTAGTCAGATGATGTATCAAACTGACTTGAACCAGTGTATGAAACTGAATCTTCTTGTTGCTGTGAACTAACACTGTTGGTGACTGTCATGTTTGCTTGAAGACTTCCATTTCCAGAACTGTTACTGTTAGTATTTTGAATGAAAGGACTTTGAAGATTTTGATTATACCTGTGGTGACATTCCCAACCAAGATGGCCATACCTTCCACATACTTGACATTGTGATCTATTTCAATTTCCATAGAACCTGCCTCCTCCTCTTTGAAATCTATTTCCTCCTCTGTTACTAGGAAATCTTCCTCGATTGAATCCTCCTCTATAGTTTCCTGAAAAACTATTTTGTCTTCTAGGTTGCATCTGTGTCACATTTGCTTGCATAGTTACTGTAAGGTTTCTTTTATGCCTTTCAAATCTTTGTTCCTGAGTCATAAGTAGTGCTTCTATTTCTCCCACAGTATAGGGATCAGATCTGGAAATTACTGAAGTTACAAATGAATCATAGTCTTCATTAAGACCATCTAGTATAGCATCAATATGATCTTCTGTATCAATCTTTGAACCAGTTGCAGCAAGAGAATCTACAATCTTCTTGATCTGAAGTAAGTATTTGGAAACATCTCCTTCTTTCTTTGTATTTACTGAATTTTCAGTTGTTTAACTTTTGCTCTTGTTTGTGAAGCAAAAAATTCCTCAAGTTTCTGCCAAACTTGGAATGAGCTTGTACATCCTACCATACGAGTATATAAGCTTTCTGACATGGAAGATAGGAGCCATGACAAAAGAAGCTGATCTTGTTGAGTACCAAGATTCTTTGAGCTAGATCTTTGAGAACTTTGAACATTATTTTCACTCCCAGCAGCACCTGTAGCTTCATTTTCAGCAGGAGCTAAATCTTGTAATTCTTTGATAATGAATCTTGTTAAATTGTAACCATTAATTGTAGCTGATGCCTGTTGCTTCCAAGGTAGAAAATTCTCCTCATTTAGTTTGAAGGAGACAGGATTGGAGAAGGTGTGAACAGAGTTTTGCGCAGAATTGTTATTGATCTCCATGGATCTGTAAATGCTCTGATACCATAAAAGGTATCACAGCTATGATGAAAGAAAGAGAGAAAGAGAGAATAGGAAAGAAAGAGAAAACGTGAAAAGTGATTATTGTATTCTGAATGCATTGAACTTTATAAAGAGCTTTTGTCTTATATATACAAAGGTGAGATATGATCAGCTACTACTCATTTGTAACTGACTAACTAACAGTTTGTTAAAACTGAATCCAAGTGAACCCATTGGGCCTCTGTGGCTATCAATATATATCAAATCATGTGCATGAGGGGAAAAAAAAAGAACATGACGTACATAGATAAGTATTATTATTGATGTAAAATAAATAAAGAATGGTGTGAATGTGGATTACCATGTGCTACAACGCTACAATATAATATAAATAGATCTTAATATCAATTACAAGATTAGAGAAAAACAACTAAATTGGTATCTGGCTATTATATCAAGTACGGATTTAAGTTCTTTTACGACATGGGCAGTAAGATAGAGTGCATGCTTTTGAGAAATTAAATTACAATGTTTTAACTTCATTATTACGATAACGAATTGCATTTACAATTACAAGTAGCAGTAATGATAAAGGAAGATAGGCCAAAGGAATATCTAAAAAGCCCGAGGCAGCAAAACGACTATAGTTAAAGGCTATCTTCAAAGTGCCAACTAATAATTGAAGGCTGTCTTCAAACGGTGCTTGTTGATGAAAAAACAAATTCGTTGAAGGTTGTGGCTTTGTCAAAAAGCCAAGAAGAAAATACGTCAGAAATATTAAAAAAAAAATAGAAGAAATATTGAATGTACAAAAGGAGATCAGACAGCTAGTAGAGCCTGCAAAAGATAAAGAAGAAGAAGACATATCTTCACTAGTTTCTGGAGACTCTATAGACACAATTGGCAGACAAAACATAGAGGACAAAATCTAGCAGCAGACCCTATGAGAATCTTGTCAGAAGCACTCAGAACTAAAGCAAGTGTCGGCCGAAATTTTAGCCACAGAATGTGTTAGAAGAATCTTAAATAATAAATGTTGGCAGGTTATTTTGTAATTATTAGTGTCTGAAAACTTATATTGAATTTTTAAAAAAAGAAAGAAAGTGAGTTTGTCAGAGAATCCTTCTTTTAAATCTGAGGTGACGATGGGGCCCAATGTGCACCCGACTCAGAAAAGAAGAGATTCTTCATTGTATTTTAATTTCTTGTTTCATGTTCAGGTCTATAAATGGATGCAGCATTAAGTTGTAAAAGATATCGAGTGAAATGTGTGTGCAAGTTTTCTGTGTTGAAGTATTCATAATGTGTCTATAATCCCTCTTTGTTTGAAATAAAAGTGTGTTTATTTCTGAAAAAATAATCCTGCTCTTAATTTCTCAGTTCCTTTAGAAGTCTTTCGGGGATCTCCGAAAAGGAAATCCTTCTCTTTTCCTAAGGTACTACTATGTTTTCTTGAAGCTTTTATTTTAATATTTGTATATTCTTCCCCTTGTTAGTTTCTCTTATGTATATCTCAAGACTACGCTTTGAGGAAGCACCAGATGATTTCACAGCATAATAGTTAGGTACTCTTGGCAACACCATTTTCAGAGCTTCCAGAACTTGTAGCTTTGAGTGTGTCCGAATATTTTGGTTCAGACTTGTAATTGACAAGTTGAAAACATGAGCTGAGCACCTCACTTAAGAGATGTCGCACCATCCGTGCAAACAATCGATAGAAAACCTTAAGCAATTCTTTCATGAGTTCGTGTATATATTCATATGATTCTCTTTGATACAGAATAGTGAATCTGCCGGACTAATCAAAGGCTGTCTGCATATTCACTTGAAATCTTGAACTGCATCAGTTTTCACTTCGTGCTGCTTCCTCAAGATCAATAGAAAATTCCTTTTCTCAATGCTATTGAAGGGGTTCAAGATCAAGGGCTTGATTCTCCGATAACGTGACTGCAGGATCAGATATAGCCTTACACATTAGTGATGTCAGGCAAGCTCATATGTTAATCCTCTTTAATGATTCAAATCCAGCTATAACCAGGTTTTTTAGCAAGTCCTTTATCCCACATGAGCTTCCGCACTCCTGCTTCATCAGCCCAACAACCCTCTATAGACAATACATTTGAGAGAAGTATGTAAGTTGCAGGATCATTTGGGTGGAGATTCAAAAGTTTTTCAGCAGAACGTAGAGCAATTTCTTTATTTCCATAAACTTGACAAGCACTTAGCAAAGTTTTATAGGTAGATGGCCCTGGTTCTATTGGCATGTTGTCAATAAAGGATTCTGCTTCATGAAGATATCCGAACCGACCAAGAAGATCCACAATTGTGGCATAATGTTCCATTCTCGGAGGGGCAAGTGTCTTGTCACTTACTATCAATTCGAAATACTGCAGTCCTTTGTCCACCATGCCCACATGGCTACACGCAGTGAGAACTGCCAGGAAGGTGGTATTATTGGGTTTGACTTTAGTTCTTCTCATTTTCTCAAACAGTTCAACAACCTCCCTACCATGACCATGATGAGCATATCCTGACAACAGTGAATTCCAGGAAATCACATCATGTTCATTCATTGATGAAAATATTTTCTTTGAATCGGGAATACTGCCACATCTTGCATACATTGAAACAAGCCCATTTTGCACATTCAAATTTGAAGAATACCCATATTTGAGAATTAAAGCATGGATCTTCTTCCCTGCATTAAGAGCTGAAGTAATCCCAGCAGCGCTTAGAGTGCTTGTAAATGTAAAATGGTCTGTTTCAACACCTGCCTCCCTCATTAAAGAAAAGTGGATCAATGCTTCCTCTCCATCTCCTAAATTGGAAAGACCAGCAATGAGTGCATTCCAAGAGATTTGATTCCAATGCCTAACACCAGAGCAAACCCTCCAAAAGTCGACCAAGCTGCCATTACATTCTGAGTAAACGGTCATAAGGGTGACCACTAGATATTCATTAGCTTCAAAACCTTCTCTGATTACACGGCAGTGAATTTGCTTGCAGTTATCCAAATGATCATGCGAGGAAAATGAACTCAGCAAACTATTGTAAGTGACATGATCAGGATGAACACCGAAACACAGCATTTCTCTAATCAAAGCCATTGCTTCATCTGGTTGATTGTTCTGGGCATAGCTAGAAACCATGGAAGTCCAAGTTATGACATTTCTAACCACCATATGATCAAAAATTTGCCTTGAAGCCTCGAAGTCTCGGCACCTGGAATACATGTCAATCAAATTTGTACCCAATACAACATTACGCCCGAACCCCACTTTCAAACATAGACCATGCAACTGAATTCCTAGCTCATAGGCTTCCATTCGGGAGCAAGCTACCAGAACAGTTGATATAGTGAATGGCATTGGAGCTATCTCCAATTGAAGCATATCCATAAACAAATTTATGGAGACCATAGGACAATCCACTAGCAAATAACCCCGAATCAGTGAATTCCAAACAACTGCATTTCTATATGTCATTTCATCGAATAGTTTCTGGGCCTCGGACACAATACCACATTTACCATACATATGAATAAGAGTACTGCATATATGAATGTTAGAACAAAATCCCAACTTCACGATGGGTGCATGTAGCTGAATACCCAGATCAAGAAAAACCGATTTTGCGCAAATGGATAAGAATTTATTAAGAAGGAAAGGAGAGGATAATGCGTCACTTGGCGATTGAGGCAGAAGATACAAATGGGTCGGGTCTAATTGCTTTGGATTGTAACAGTAAGAGGATATGAAGTGATGTTGCACATTGTGGATCGCAAAAGGTAGCACTTTTGGGTCCTTTGTTTGGAGGCCACGACGCAGGAGGATAAAGAGCCTCAATCTCATTTTCAACCATATTATTTCTTCTACTTCTTCACTGTATTTTGTAAGCAGCAAGTGAATACACACACTGGTACCAAGCCAATGTGCTGTTTTTCAGAGTGTTCTTAAAGTAGAATTCAAGTTTGAACATTAAAATAGACAATTTTTAACTGAATTTTAACACGTGACGCCATTGTTGCCATCTTCGGTTCTCTACTATAATGGTCATAATTTCTAAGTTTTCTCTCCCTTTTCCTATCTTTCAATTTTCTAGAAGGTTATAAATTTTTTCGGAAGTTATACTTATTACCTCTCTTCCTTATTACTTCTTACTGTTAAATCTTAACCGTTAATTTGTGCCAATGTAACGTTTGTAATTTATGGGTCATATTTACTATTAATTATTAATTTCAATTAAATTATAACCATTAGATTGACAGAAATCAACGGTTAAGATTTTGTAGTAAGAGATAATAAGAAAAAATAGGTAGTAAGTATAACTTTTCCCAAACTTTTTTTTGTGTTCTTATTAAAATAACTTTAAATTTAAGTTAATTTGTATGGTTCTCTATCATAATATAACTTCAAATTTAAATTAAATTGTATGGTTCTCTGTCATAATGGTAGAAAATTTGAAGGTCACGAAAGGTGTTCGAATGTGAGAAAAAAACCAATACGTAATTGTAAATACATTGGAGATAATGATACTGCATATATTAATGGATATCATGATATAATCAAATTTCACAAGAGATGTCACGTGTGTTAAAATATAGTTAGTTGCACACGTGATAGGTGTGCAACTCGGGAGAGCTTGTCATGTGACATTTGACATGTTAGGCATCAAAGAAATACATAACAAATTGCATCAGTTAGGTAAAATGTTTCAAAATAACATTAATGTTGCAATTTATTTTTTAAATTGCAATTAATAAGAATTTTTTTGCAAGGTTTTTTGACCATAATGATGGTGAATTCAAAACTATTAAGGAAATCAATGCGATTATGAAATTATTTACCAAAATAATGCAGTGAAACATGTCCGCATTTAGAGTTGTGCACAGGTGGTCAACATCCACATAGAAGGTGAATTAGTATATGCCATATGTCACGTATGTCCTTATATATAATTTGAACGTGCACATCCCATACACATCTCTTGGTGTATCAGATCATAAACATTAATTCACCCCTATGACTTGAACGCTCATAAATCTCCTGGCGCAATTCAGTGCATTATTTTGATAAATTTTTTCATAATCTAATTAATTGAATGAAAATATTTATTATTAGCATCAAATGCTTAGAAGGCCTAACAAATAATAATAAACACACATCCGTATTTCAACTAGTAAGGAAAACATTGAGCAAAAGGCGCACAGAACATACATAGGAAAAAACGTTTAGAAAACCCATCAAAAACCCTCTTATCTATCTCTTCCTCTTCCGCTTCCTTTTTGTCGGCAACAATGTCTTCCTTTGCTGCCTCCAACCACCTTAGCGCGGTGCTATCCACCCGTCAGCGTCGTCCTCTTCGTCGGGAACAACCCAATCGACCCTCTTCCATCAAATGCGACCTTTCTTCTTCCCAACAACCAGACTCCTCTCAAAACCCTTCACTCCTCAAAACCCTCTCAACCACCATCGCCGTCTCCTCCGCAGCTGCCATCCTCTTACACAGCACCCCTCTCACTCCCTTCCTTCTCAGCGGAGGAAGCAATAACGGTGGCGGCGGAAGTGGCGGAGGAGGAGGAGGAGGGTGGGGGTGGTTCGGCGGCAATGGAGGTGATGGAAATGGAGGGTTCTGGTCTAAACTTTTGACTCCTGCTTCAGCTATTGCCGATGAATCTCCCTCTCAAGAGTGGGATCCTCATGGCTTACCAGCCAACATCGTGGTTCAATTGAACAAGCTGAGTGGATTCAAAAAGTATAAAGTTTCAGAGATTCTGTTCTTCGATCGGAGGAGAAGAACCAAGGTGGGTGCTGAAGATTCCTTCAGCGAGATGGTTTCTCTGCGTCCTGGTGGTATATACACAAAAGCACAGCTTCAGAAGGAGCTCGAGACTCTAGCTACTTCTGGAATGTTCGAGAAGGTTGATTTGGAAGGGAAAACCAGTGCTGATGGAACAATTGGTGTTACAATTTCGTTCAGTGAGAGTACTTGGGAGCAAGCAGAAAAGTTCCGTTGCATCAATGTTGGTTTGATGGCGCAATCGAAGCCCATTGAGATGGACCCTGATATGACTGATAAGGAGAGGATGGAGTACTATCTGAGCCAAGAGAGGGATTACAAGAGAAGAATGGAGAATGCAAGGCCTTGCCTTTTGCCAAATTCTGTGCACATGGAGATTATGCAGATGCTGAATAAACAAGGGACCGTGAGTGCTAGGTTGTTGCAGAGGATAAGGGACCGTGTCCAGAAATGGTACCATGATGAAGGCTATGCATGTGCACAGGTGGTTAATTTTGGGAATCTCAACACCAGTGAGGTTGTCTGTGAGGTTGTTGAAGGGGATATCACCCAATTGGCCATTCAATTCCAGGATAAGCTTGGCAATGTTGTTGAAGGTAACACTCAAGTCCCAGTGGTACAAAGAGAGCTTCCCAGACAGGTACACATAGTTATGTTATATTGGACATAAGTAGGCTTCCTTTTTATTTTTTTGTATTCAATTTAGTTTTAGGGGTTTACATATGTGTTGTTATCTGCACATTTGATGTGTTTAGTAGCTAATTTATATAATTATTTTCTTGTCTCAAATATCAGGGTTTTCTGTGATTATGCTTTGTGCCTGTTTTCTTCTATCTTGAAATTGTTCGTTGGTTTAAGTTACTCACTTGATGGATATTTTGTATCGGATAATCAGCTACGCCCAGGTTATACTTTTAACATTGAAGCGGGGAAGCAAGCTTTGAGAAACATAAATTCCCTTGCTTTGTTTTCGAATATTGAGGTGAATCCAAGGCCTGATGAGAATAATGAGGGAGGCATAATTGTTGAAATTAAGCTAAAAGAGTTAGAACAGAAGACAGCTGAAGTCAGTACTGAGTGGAGTATTGTCCCTGGAAGAGGAGGGCATCCCACATTGGTATTTCTGTTAAATTAAATATCAATTTTCTTCAGCAACTGAGGAATTTTGTCTTGCCAATTAATCTGATTGCTTTCTATTCAATTTTTGTGCAGGCTTCACTTCAGCCAGGTGGAACTGTTACTTTTGAACATCGGAATCTGCAAGGACTGAATAGATCTATTACTGGTTCTGTAACAACTAGCAACTTCTTAAATCCTCAGGTACTCTTGAGCTAGTCCATTGAGTTTCTTCATTTTATTCTACGAATAATTGTGTCTCATCATTATTGGCATTGGTATCATAAAAATGTCCTTCATGTTTTGCCCTAGGATGACCTTGCATTTAAGCTAGAGTATGTGCATCCATATTTGGATGGTGTGTATTATTCACGCAACCGTACTCTCCGTGTCAACTGCTTCAATAGCCGAAAGCTGAGTCCAGTATTCACTGGGGGGCCAGGGGTGGATGAAGTGCCCCCAATATGGGTTGATCGTGCTGGCGTTAAAGCTAATATCACAGAGGTAATTTCACTGGTTCTTTTTTATTGCATAAACCCATAAGCCTTGAGTATGCCATTTCGGCTCGTGGTAATTTTTTTAAATCTCAATTTTCATGTCCTGTGTGCCAAACAGAATTTCACACGTCAGAGTAAATTCACTTATGGACTTGTAATGGAAGAGATAACAACACGTGATGAAAGTAGTCATATCTGTGCAAATGGTCAAAGAGTATTACCTAGTGGAGGAATCAGTGCAGATGGACCTCCAACCACCCTCAGTGGTACTGGCATTGATCGCATGGCATTTTTACAGGCAAATATCACACGTGATAATACACGTTTTGTGAATGGAGCTGTAGTTGGAGACAGAAATATGTTCCAGGTCTATCTCATCCTACACTTAGTGCCAAAATCTTTTAGATTATATATTGTCTATTGTATAAGTATTACTTGGCTTTCATAATTTTTTTCACTTTGGCCTTCCAAACACCTCACACTGATACACATGTCCGTGGAAACGGAGAGCCTACCAGAGATAATAAAATTCTCAGAGTTGAAACATGGCCTCAAGGACAATCATAAGTTTCTCTTCTTTATTCTTTTATGGTCTGTATGTTATATATAATTAATGATTATTTTTTCTTTGATTGTTGACTAAGTTTAATATAAACAACTTGCTGAAGTGTCTAGATTCTTTTTCATTGGCCCTCTCAAGAAAATTTGTCTAGCTGTGCCCTTGGGATCAATATAGAGGGTAGCATATCAAAACTAGCAACAAAGATAGAAGTAGTGGGGATGGGTTAAGGATGTTCCATTATTTCTAGATGGTATTTTTCTGTAGTGTAGCTAATCTTTTGATGTTAATTAAACGCAATCCTTCTTAGAGGATGGTACCTTGGCTAGAGTTAGTAGAATGCCGTATTCTTCTGGATGTGGAAGCATTCTTTTTAACCAACAACTAAGCCTTATCCCATTATATGGTGTTGGCTACATGGATAAATTGATGCCGATGAGCTTTATCTAAAACACATTTTCAGTGAAACCTATTAGTGCAAGGTCCTTTGAGGACAAGATATTAATCTTCTCTAAATTTCTGGTCTTGAAGTAAGCTATGCCTATGTTTTCTGATGATTTCAGTTTTCAAATATGCCTACTGCAGGTAGATCAAGGCCTTGGCATTGGCAGCCAATTCCCATTCTTTAATCGTCACCAGCTAACTGTGACACGATTTGTCCAGTTGATGTCCGTGGAGGAAGGGGCAGGTAAACCACCACCACCGGTGCTTGTCCTCCACGGTCACTATGGTGGCTGTGTAGGCGATCTTCCAAGTTATGATGCTTTTACTCTTGGGGGGCCCTATTCCGTAAGGGGTTACAACATGGGTGAGATTGGAGCAGCCAGAAACATCCTGGAGGTAGGAATGACTGAACATGTTTTATTATTCTCCATGAAGATGTTAGCTTAGTTAATTTTTTAGAACGCATATACTGTCATCCAGTACTAGGAAAACCATTATCTGATTTGTTTTTTTCTTTCTACAGCTTGCAGCTGAGTTACGGGTACCTATTAAAGGCACACATGTGTATGCATTTGCAGAACACGGCAATGATCTAGGGAGTTCAAAGAGTGTCAAAGGGAATCCTACAGAGGTCTATAGGCGAATGGGTCAGGGGTCCTCTTATGGTCTTGGTCTTAAGCTTGGTTTAGTCAGAGCAGAATATGCCGTTGATCATAACTCAGGAACTGGTGCATTATTTTTCCGTTTCGGAGAGAGGTTTTGAGGTGCAAATCAGTCAGAGTTTATTGCTTATTAGGTTTTGTTCTCTTGGTTTTCAGAAGAAATCTTGCAGCCAACAGTTGAGCAGGCGCATTTTATACGACCTAAAAAACTACATGTTTTGGTTAAGCGGACGCCATGCTGGTGGTACTAGACTAGTAGACTTTGTTTCTTTCTCAGTTATCCGCAAAATTGGTAGAGTTCTGTGAAAATATTAAAATGGCAGACTAGACTATCTTGATATATCTGTTGTTAAATGCATTTAATTTACTTCGCGGCTAGTGATCATTGCAGAGTCCGTAAGAACAATTGGAACCTCGTGATATTTTATATAAAATGTTTTTTCTTTATAAATATGATTATCTAATTGTTAGAGATTAGAATATTGATGTTTTGTATTATATTGGAGATTAGAATGTTGATCTTTTATTTGTGTAGTCTTTGCCATATTAACTAACTATTGTGTTTTGTTTTTAGTGTTCTTTGTACACTTGAAAATAGATGGCGCAAGATGAATGAGAATTCACAATTCATGCCGTGCACTTACAGATAATAGAATAAGAAAAAAAGAGATGCATTTGAATTTATTGCAATCAAAATAATTTGTCAATGTTTGTTCCATTTTCGAAGACATGCAATCATGTTTATGCTTATATAGCAAATGAGTTTTATTATCCCTCTACGTTTCTCTTGGTTTCATCTCAACAAATACATACATTATTGATGTTTTAGTGTTCTTATTTGAGATTGTCATCTACGCTGCCAACCCAAAACTTAGAAAATATATAAATAAATAATGACGGATGTTAGGAAAGAAAAACATTAGAACGGTATATGAAGCCCTTGTGTTCATATTTAATCTGGTGACATAAATCGAAAGGGCCACCAACAGATATATGCCTCCACATATAGCACACGCCAATTGAGGCAATAATGTTGGCTATTGCTCTCAACCAGCTGGGAACCCAATCCTTTTGCGCTATAAGCCTAATTCCCTTTTCAACTGAGCCAAAGTGGCTTCTATTTCATCAAGGTTATCCTCAATGTTTCCGTTTCCCTTGCTAGCTTTACCTTGAGCGCTGTTGCTTGGTGTCTCTGTCCCAGATACTTTAGATGGGTTTCCTTCCTGAGGCGTTTTATAATTGTCATTTGCATCAACAATATTGAGTTCTTTCTCAAGGAACTCCACAAATTCTTCTCCTATTTCCTGAAAGCGAAAAGTTCAAATATTATGAGTTCCCATGCAGGTCCTCGTTGCTAACTAAGGTTTTTTTGGAGATATATATGATATATCAATTGTCAGGAAATAAATATTAAATAGGCTTGTGTACACACATCAGAACTCAACTCCAAAACAAAAATATAAAGATGTAAGCGGGAAGCCTCACCGCCAATTCCTCCCATAGACTCTTTGGCTTTCCTTGTGAAGCAGCATTGGCTTCCCAATTCCTGAATTCTTCTTGAAGATCCTTAAAGAAGTCCTCTGTAACAACAAAATCATCAGATCTCAAGCACAATAAGAAAGGAATTATGAAATTAAGTTGCAATATACTAGAGGCATCCCCCCCAAAATTTGTAATAAATGCAGCCTGACATGATCACATGATGTCTACCAGAGAGTATATATCTACCTATTGTTATTTGAACATCCCTCATAAAATTACCTGCAGCATTAAGATGTTGACCATAAGAAGATTTAAAAAAAAAAAGAGCAGCTAACTTAAATCATAGGACAGGAATCATATAAAGAATTTGAAAATTATCTCTCAGACAGTGAAAGGGAAAGAATTAGTATTAGAAGAGTATGCAAGGACCCAAAAAGAAAACATGAATATTTAGGGCGTAGGGTATAAAATCAAATTAACTAGCATGAGTCTTTTATGAAAAGTATGAAAAAGATAGTGAAATCCTCAGTAGTATCTTGGTTAAAGTAAATCCGTTCCAGAAGACCAGAACATAACCAATCAAGACCCATTATGCATACTGACAATTTTTAACTGCACAAAATGCATGAATGATCTACTGACTAAAAGCTTTTCCTGATAACTTTCAACTGAGCTACATCTTAGGCAGATCTCTTGGGGTATGTTCCGATAGCACTAAAATCACTTTGTTGTTGTTAGACAATATTTAAGATATACTTAGAATCTCTTATTTTGGATTAGTTTATGTAATTAGTCTTATTGTTAGCGGGCTTGGTCTTGTACTAGCAGTACTAGCACTTGACCTAATTAATAATATAAATAGGAGTACTAAGTTATTGACCACAACATTACATCCTATCAATAATATATTTCAGTTTATTACTTTGAGCCATCTTTCTCTCTTTTACTTTTTCCCTAATCCTAAACCTATGATTTTTTAATATGGTATCAGTGATACCATCCAGCTTGGGAAGAGTATCTCCCTTCTGCTATTTTGAGTTTAGGGAACTCAGATTGTATATTCTCTCCTGTAGTTTTGTCCCCTTTCCTGTCAGCTAAGATTGAAAACAGTTAAAAAAAAAGAAGAGTAGAGAAAAGAATAGGGAAAAGAATCACCAATAGTATTGTGACTAATGTATAAACTCAGCACCCACAACTCAAGGTTTAGGCAGACATCACTGCGCTTGCCATCTACTTCTCAGGCAGTGGGGGAGTGATTGTTGCAAGTCTTGGAGCAAGAGTTGTCCCAAGTTTCTTGTAGTTTCGGCCTATCAGGTTCGGGAGCAAGAGTTTCCCAGTTTCTCTTTTTCTCCTTGGACGCCTACGTTTCTTCTCTCCTTCCTCTCTATGCTCTATTTGGATGGTACAGGATTTGCTATTGTGCTCGGTTTTATTCTCTTATTGGTGATAGATAGCTTCCTAAATAAATGGGTTGCAGTTTTTTTCTCTTCTCTTTTGTCCAGCTGTTTGGATCTGTCTGAAGTTTCTGATGAAGGTTGCTCTGTTCTGCACTGCATTGAAGGTTTTGTGATTTGGGGGGAGTGCTAGTTGCCTACGTTCTTTGGCAAGATGAGCTAGTGTTCTTTGTCTTATGTTTGTGTTACTACTTGTAACTTAAGCTTTAGTTTGGGATGAGTGTTTGATAATATTTAAAATATATTTAGATTATCTTTGAATATCTTTCTGGATTTATTTGAGTTATTAGTCTTATTGTTAGTGGACCTGGGCTCATATTAGTAGTACTGTACTTGATCTAACTAATAATATAAATAGGAGTATTAGCTTAAGGTATTGTTCACAACAATACATCCTATCAATATATTTCAGTTTATTACTTTGAGCTATCTTTCTATCTTTTCCTTCTTCCCTAATCCTAAACCTTTTATACTTTAACATTGTGCAAGCAATAATAAAACTGAAGAATGTATTGAAAAGAAAAGTTTGTAGAGAGATATTAAAAAAAAGAAAAATTGCAGAGGGTTATATAAATCTTTACCTAATCCATAAAATTCTTCTTCAGCTTGCGAATTCCTATTTTGGCTTCTTTGATAAAAATCAGAACCACGATTTCCAGAATCATATTTTTTGCGGGAACTAGAATTTAGCAATGTATTGTATGCGTGTTTTATTCTCATAAATTTCTCCTGCGCCTTATCCTGTGAAAAGAAACTTTAAGATACAAAATAAGCACCACATATTCCTTTCATCCGATGGTTAATTTTAATACATTGATTGGAAATATAGTAAAAAACAATGTGAGTGATTAGTTACATAAAATCCAAAATAGAACAGTTACATCGTCGAAGCATAAGATTTCAGCATACCGCATACAATATGCTTTTCCTTTGTCCTTAATCTTCTAAAATTCCTATTCATGAATCATGAAATTGAAAGCTATTTATGTACGCAGGTGATCAAGTTTACTTTTTTTTTTTCCCAGTTTCCGTTGGTGTCTTTTAGGGGAGGAGGGACATCACCACTATTATAATTTTTGGCAGGAACTTAAAGTAAAAATGTAAAACAACTAAAAGAACATAGGCAAACCAAGATTGGAAGACAATATGCCAATTACAAGTGCATATACATGAGGGTCATAAATTGTTTTGACATTGTTATTATCTGATATGACATTCAGCTTATTAACCATCATAGATCCACTTATTTTTTTCAACTTTTGGCAACTTACAATAGACATGAAAGAAAGAAAGAAAGAAAGAAAGAATGTGCTTTCCTAACAAGGAAGGTCAACAGTCAGGCTACATATTAAGGATGTCTCTAGACCAGTAAATACCCATTTATAAAATTTTAGGTAAAACTTAAAAATTTCTGATGGCAATAGAGTCATGGATACACATTACTCAGTCCTTATGACACAGCCAAACTAATTATGTAATTCATATTTTCATTGAAGGACAATAGAGCATACAATCTTTTCATTGAAGGACAATGACAACCTATGAAGCAACGATGCTCCGAATTTTTTTTCCAACGTATCGGATACGCAAAACGTATCGGATCGATGAATTAATGGTCATATCGAGAACGTATTGGAAACATATCGAAAACGCCGTGTCGGAATTGATGTTTCATAGATGACAACCAATAAAGACACAACCAAACCCCAACCTGAATTTTAAGTTTAAGAACCAAAATGTAAAATCATTAATATCCCAACAAAGGATGAAAACCCTAATAATCAAAATATTCCCCCAAATCATAAGAATTCCTATACAATTTTATTGAGAATGAGATGAACAATAAGCTTTTCAGTTAAATAACCTGTTTATTGACATCGGGATGATACTTGAGAGCAAGTTTCCGATATGCCTTCTTGATTTCATCAACAGTTGCGGATGGAGACACGCCCAAGACATCATACGGAGACTCGCCAAGGCTTGCTCTGACAACGTTGTTTCTTTTGCTACCTCTTCTTCCTTTGGTCTCATGCTTCATGTAGCAGCGTGAATCGACCATAAGAGGATTGAAACCACTTCCATACCAAATTTGAAAAGTGGGTATGGAAGAATATCTTAAAGTGGGAGCACAACAAAGTAAATTGTTTATAGTAAGAGGAAGAGTTAATCCATGCATGTTAATCACCTTATCTTCAAATCTTTGTTCTCTCATCTCTTCTCGTGTCTCTTGTCATTCTCCATAGCATCGTTATCGCTCTCTTATCACTCAAAACCTTTGGATTTAAATGAAATTTGGAGCTTCCTCTGCACTAACTTGTAATACCCCCAACCCAAAAAAAAAAAAGAGAAAATGGTAACTAGTAACTACCTCGTATTTTCTCCAAAAATAAAACAACAATCATATAATATAACTACCTCGTTTATATTATTGTCCCGCCTCACCGTTAGGCATGGTATTTCTTGAAATACATACAAAATTAATTCTTGAACAGATTTAATTTATTTTATTTCAACTTTTGTAGTTTGTCAGAAATGAATAAATTTATGAGTAAATATTTTTTCGGTCCTCAGCAAATTTTACGATACCCGCTTTAGTCCTTAGCAAATAAAAAGGCTATTCGTGGTCCCTGAGAAATTCTAAACGAACCATTTTAGTCCTTTTGATGGACTAATTTAAGTCTTTTTTAAATTTGTAAGGGATCATGATTTCAACTAAATAGGTCTATTTTGAATTTCTTAAAGATCACAAATAGCTTTTTTATTTGTTAAGGACTAAAGTGGGTATCGTGAAATTTGTTGAGGACCAAAAAGTGTATTTACTCTAAATTTTTTGTTTTTGTCGAAAAATAATTAAATTTTTGTAAGTTTCTTACTGTTGTAAATATGGGGCTTGAGTTATTGGGCCTGTCTTAATCGATTGGATATTCATTATTATGGAACAGGCTCTCAACGACTACTATTACTACGAGTGTAAATGGGCTAGGCCAGCCTACAAGAACCTACGGTCTAGCCTATATTAGGTCAGACTTGGCCTATTATAAGTAATAAAACAGAATAGGCCTGGGCTTTTAAAAAAACCTATTTAAAAAATAGGTCATAGGCTTTTTTGTACATGTCGGGCCTATAAGCCTACAGGCCGGTCTATATCATATTATTTATTTAAAATATAATAAATAAAATTATTATTTAATAATTTTGAATAATAAAATAATATTATTTTAGTTATTCATTTAATTGTTGAATGTTTGATAGGCTTAAACAGGCTAACAGGCCTAAGCCAAGGCTTTTATTTTTTCAATATAGGTCAGGTCAGACTTATAATTTGAAGCCTACACAGGCTAATAGGCCAGGCCATACCCAATATTTTTTACACAGGCTTGACCTATTTAAGCCAAAGCCTAGCCCAGCCTAGCCCATTTACACCCCTAACTATTACTACCTCTCTTCTACATTTGCAAAATAGAAAAGAGAGCAGGGAACAAAAAGGAGTACACAAATTTATTCTGGTTCATCTAATATGGGTTATATCCAATAATATTATACTTTATTCTCTCATCGCATTATTATAGTTACAAAAAAAATATAAATAATTTTATAAACCTTAAGCGACCTTAGTGATTCATGGGCTTAATCCCTTATTAGTTTGGGGTTTGCATTCATCATTTAACATGACCACAAAGAATTTCTTACACACACAACATTTTGTGGGACCCACATGTTTTGAAAGGAAAAAAAAAAACTACGGCACCCAAAACGAATCTCTATAACATAACACAATCATTTTTCCTATAACATAACTCTTATAAAACTCTATTAGTTTTCTCTGCATCTTCCATAGTACTTATCAATGTTGTAAAAATCGGATCGATCGGGTCGACCCGGAACTCGGTGAACCAATCATCTAATCGGTTCAGTTATCACATTAAATCAGTCAAATATCAGACCCGGTGCAACCTGGCAGTTTTGGTGAAAACTTGTAACCCGGCTCAATTTTTAAAAAAAAAAAATTCCCAAAAAAAAAATTTCCATAAAAAAATCATAATTGACATATTTGAGTTATCTGTTACTTATTGACTTACATAAGTTATGTACCTACAATACTAATATTATCTCAGTCATGCACTATGCAGAATTTTTTGATTTGATTTATAGTCAGATATGTCGTTTACTGAACCTTAAACATCAATATCACAAGCATTATATGTTTTTTCGATCTTTTATTGGACAATAATGTATAATTTATTATTTTTTATATTAAAACATTTAAAATTTATATATTTTTTCAGTTATTTGAGTGTGTTTATAATTTTTTAATATAAATTATAGATTTATCCCGACCAGGTCTGGAAGGATAGAACATATGTTCTCATCTTCACCTATTCAATTCTTATACGTATGGGTGTAAATGGGCTGGGCTGGGCTGGGCTTTGGCCATCCTGGCCTAAGCATACGTCAAAAAAATCCAGCATATCTGGCCTACTGGCCTATTAAAGGCTTTATTTGTAGGCCAAGCCCGGCCCATTTTCAAAAAATAAGAAAGCCTGACATGGCCTACAGGCCTTGTAGGCCTCCTACTATATATACTAAGCAAAAAAAAAAAAAAAGTATAGTGCAAAGAAAGTTTCATTTATGCATGCACTAGTACTTCTCATAAGAAAAAAATGACAAACAAGAAAGAGCCAACATAAAACCTCAGCTCTAGAATGTATATCATAGAGGAATAGAGTCAAAGAAATGAGAAAAATAAGAAAAATACAATTACTGGATGCTGAAATAAAGTCTACAAGAGAATGTCATTCATCTAAAAATCTTTAAACCACCATCAAGACAAGGGAAAGAAGAGTATTATTGAAAGATCTTCATCAGTAACATCATAATCCAACAAGGTACCCATTGCTCCATGGTATTAAGCTGCAACAGCATGTAAAATTTGGAGACATTAGACAAATTTTTCTTTCATAAAATAAAATAGCACAAAAAGTAAAAGATATTGGTATTTGGTACTGTGTCTTTGCCACATAACATAAATATTATTTTATTATTTTATTTTAATAAATTAAATAGGCCAGCCTACAAGGCTGTAGGCCGGGCTTGACAAAATTGGCCTATGGCCTATTTATTAAAAAAACTTTTTTATAAGCCTAAGTCTACTCTACTTTTCAGAAAGACCAGGCCTGGACTGGGCTCAATGTAGGCGGCTGGGCTAGGCCAGTCTGGCCTATTTACACCCTTACTTATACGTCAATTGAGCTAGAATCGTTTGGTATCAAAATCCGAAGCCTTTTTCTTTTTTTGAGCTCTTAGACGAGTACTTGGGTAGTATGGGCCTTGTATACTCTGAATCTGGATATCAAAATTAAAAACAAAATGCAGTCCAAGACCCAGATTCCATTTGAGGCAGCAAAATAAGGAAAAAATTATTTTTATGTTATATGTGATAAATTTTTTTTCTACACATCTTTCGATAACTGTGTCATTTTTTTTTTTTCAAGTGGTGGAGTCCACAAATTTATGTCTAAGACATGAGATAACTTATCTCCTTAACATGAAATTAATTAATAAAACCCACAAAATAATAGGTCTCACAAATAGGCAACAGTAAAACACTATTATAGATCCTATTGACCAACCGGAGTCTGCAAAAGGAACCCAACCCAAGTTGACTCATTGGAGAAACATGGGCCACATAAAGAAAAGTGGTTGCAGGATGAGGTAGCAGCAGATGAGAGCCATGGCCACAGCATTTACATCATCCTCATCTCCACAGATTGCAACTTTCCTTTCTTCAAATTTCCATTCAAAGTCATACTCATACTTGCCTCTTGGAACTAGAACTCTATCATCTCTGCCATCTACCTCACCCATCATCATCCCATCCAAAAAATTCATACTTTTTCACAACCCACTTCAAAGAAATAACAGACTTGGCCTCATTCCTCTCGCTGCTGCCACTCCTGCTGAAGATGTTCTACTTTCGGAAGCCGCGGCGGTTGATGCTACGGAGCAATTGGTCTCCAACACCGATGGTGGGGTGTCAACAGTCATATCAGCTCTTCTCTTTGTTGCTTTCATTGGCCTATCCATTCTTACTGTTGGGGTAAAAGGCCCTCAAAGAATGAAGTTTTTTACACTTTTATGTTGCTCTGAATGCATCTAGTTACTGTTTGCCATTTTTTTTTTTGGAAAATATTGCAATCCATTGCTTACACCTAGTCTGATTCAGGACGGGTCTAGCATTAATTCTTTATATTACTCCCGATATTAGTAAGATCGAACACATATTTTTAATATTTTTACCCATACGCTCAGTTCTGATCCGCCAACTAAGTTACTATTATTTGGTAATAATTACCATTTTTTGTTTGTGTCGCAGGTAATCTATTTAGCAGTGACAGATTTCCTGCAAAAGAGAGAGAAAGACAAGTTTGAGAAAGAAGAAGCAGCTAACAAAAGCAAGACGAGGAAGAAGAAGGTGGCAAGAGCCAGGACAGGGCCTAGAGGATTTGGCCAAAAGATTGATGAAAAAGAGGACGACGATTAGGATACAAATAGCAGTAAACACCCTTTTTAGTCTCTGTCAATATTTACGAAGTCCTTTTTAGTCCCTGGCAATAAAAAAGGACGAAATTGGTCCATGAAATTACAAAAAAAGGGTCATGTTAGTCCTTATGTCAACTCCCAAATATGTAGAGTGACCCTTTTCTTGTACTTTCAGGGACCAATTTGGTCCTTTTTTATTGCCAGGGACTGAAAATGACTTCGTAGATATTGCCAGGGACTAAAAAGGGTGTTTACTCTACAAATAACTTACACCCATGTCATTTCAGGTCCTCTGCATTCTTATCTTTGAAATGAGATTTTGCGTGTACCCTTCTTCTTTTTTTTCTTTTTTATATGGTTAGCAAACTGCTTGTCTTCACAATGTGATTTCAGTTTCGAAAAGTAAGGATTTGTTTGGTGAATAGGATAGGATAAGCAAGTGAATTACCTTGTTCGGATTGATGGAAATGTCGAATGATCCAATGAAGTTTGATTAATTTAATTGAATTTGAATATAATTTGATGGATAGGGAAGTTTTCGTGCTACTTTTTTTGGCTACCAGTACATAAATGTAAACTATGGGGTGCCTCGATAACAATTGTACTATTATGTGGCCTATTTTCGTCGCAGCATATATGCTGATTATCTAAATTTTTACAGCAAAGATATAACCGATAATCTGCAAATAGATTAGATTAAAAGGAAAAGAAAACTTTCAATTAATTTAAGATAAAATATCATAAATGAGTCCTTCTCAGTTTTTCAATAACATGATAAATTAGAAGCTGTAAAATGGGTTTTCTGTTTATTAGTTAGCCATAACAATATGATGAAAATAAAGTTATGCTACTCAATTCAAGTTCTTTTGTTTTGCATTGTATAAATGGTACTCGTGAATGTTACAAAGCGTACTGAAATTATAAAAGAAACAAAAGAATAACTCATTTTAATTAGTTTATAACTCTTTTGAAGATGTAGAACAACGTCACTAGATTAGCATAAAAACTTAACGCCACGAATCAAATTTAAACTCTCTTTAAAAGACTTGTAGAGCATTGCATGTATTCGCTTCTTCTACTTATTTCACTTGAAGGGTCGGTTTGTTTAATCTTATTGACAACACGGATTCAATCACTGACATTGCCCTACATATCTGGGACAGAAAATCAACATGGTTGAGGCTAGTATATTTCACTCAACCCTTGACATACTCCATTTTTTTTTTGCCGTTGCTTACCCCTACTTTTATAATAATAATTAAAAAAAAAAAGACGATATGAATAAAAATATGTTGATAACAATAACTTGTTCGACACTATTACGTTGTTAAAAGAAACAGAGAACAATATCGCTATCACAAGATATAATGAAGGGAAAAGTAAACTTGGAAAATTGGGGAATAAAGTCAATAACCATACATGAAAGAAAAACCCTGCTCTCTCACCTAAACATAAACAGCTCTCCACACGGCAACATTTTGTACAGTCGCGTCAACAACATATAAACTACCTCACCATTTTATAAACTTTACATCCTTAAAAAAGGCTTGTATTGTCAATATATCTCCTCTGCAGGTGCATTACACATCTGAACCTCTCACCTCGATTAAATTCTATGTATAAACTTAAAACTACAAAATGTACATTTCTTCATTACAACCGATAATTTTATTTCCAATCGGTTACTACTCATCACGAAATATAGGTAAATATAACCTCTGGATGCATGAGAACAAGAGAGAAGGAAGCTCACACTAGCCTCAGTTAGCTGTACAAACAACATTCTTTTTCTATGACCACCTAAGCAGGATGAGGAGACTGGGCAGCAATTCTCCTTTCTGCAAGAAATTAGAACACCAGTTGGCAAGCTACATGTAATACCTTCGCAATGAAAACTCAACAAAAAACCAAACACATGCAATCAAAAGCATATAATGGTACACAATTAGCAGCGGCAGTTACATGCATATATCCTATTATTCAGGCAAACATGCACCTAAACCATACACATGATGCAGAAATATATCAAAACAAGTGATAATGAAAATAAGGAATATGTACCTCCAGCAGCAACAAGTTTCTCTACACGTGCAACAATATGCTTTCCATATGTGTACTTTTTCAATGCGTTCAAATGAACTTTAATTCGTGAAAGAATTAGCTCACGCTGTTGGTCATCACAAGTCTCCAGCACCTTTTGTACAACATAATTTGCAAATTGATCTTTCATCATTGCCTGTATATAAGAAGAACCTGATTTATCAGTTGCAAGAATGACATGCTGAGAGTTCGTTAACGAGAGCATCCACAACACTTACTATTACTATTGTCGTAAGAATTCTAAGGAAAGGGAGGGTAATAACCATCCTTTTCCTTGACCCAAAAACTCAGGTGATCAAAGTTCAATATCGAAAATGAGAAAAACACGTCATTCTGTTTAAACATTAAACAGCCTTGGATGCATTGAGAACATTATTTTTAGAGTAAAGCCCTTTTTGGATTCCTAACAAAAAATATAGTCTCCACTTTCGTTCCTTCCAAAAGAAAAACCTATATTAGTCTTTTTTAGGGACTAAATTAGATTTTCATTAAATTTCTGAGGACCACATTTTCAAAGCACTGGAATTGTAGAGGGACCAAAAGTTGACTTTCTTTTATAAGGGACGAAATTGAGGACCGTGTTTTTTGTAAAGGACCCAAAAAGGGCTTTACTCTTATTTTTAAAATAAATCATGCAGATCGTTGAGATCCTATCTTAGGATCTATATATATATATATATATATATATATATATATATATATATATATATATAGAGAGAGAGAGAGAGAGAGAGGTAGGATCATTTGACACCAGTGTCAAAACTCCAATTTGACACCTCATATGATAGCCGTTAGATCAATAGTGTCACATGCTTGCAAATCAGAGTCGTTAATCTTTTTTGATCTAACGGCTCTCAGATGAGGTGTCAAATTTGAAATTTGACACTGGTGTCAAAGGATCCTATCTCATATATATATATATATATATATATATATATATATATATATATATATATATAACACAGATAAAAAAAAACATTTAAATCATTATTTAAATTTAATCAAAACTAAGATATTATTTTGATGTCATTTATTTTTATTTTCATAAAAATAACCATAGTATAAATAATTAATGATTAATATGTTATTATAATCCTATTTCATATAAATATAGAATAATTTAGTATGTTTAATATTTTAAATATATGAATACATAATTATGTAAAAATTATATTTACATATAAAAGAATATGTATTATTTTATATTTTATTTACATATAGAGAAATCAATTGAAGCATTCAAGACGTAGACCAGCGAAACCAATCGAAGGATAGTGACATGGGACAAGAAACTACAAGGGATTGAAGAATTTTGCTTCATGGTGAAAGGCTGAATGAAAAAAAAAGGGACGGACCTGTCAAATGACAGCACCCATGAGAGATCATAGCCAAACAAACAAAACTAGTATTGGGTCCATGGATGAGCAGGCGTGGGCACCCAAAGTTGAACTCCTGGTGTTTGATGGGTTTGATCCACTAGGTTGGATAGTCCGGGCAGAAATGTACTTTGAAATTCATGCAACGCCAGAGACAGAGAAGGTACAACTAGCTTTTGTAAGCTTAGGAAGTGAACCTTGAATATATAGGGGGTTTGTGGTCCATGGAATGCAGGCAAGAATAGTTATTTGAATTTGAGTGAAAGGGGAGTGCCCTTTGTAAAGAGTGTTCTCTTGCATACCTTGGTTTTTCTATATTAATAAAAATTCAATTTTCCGTCATATTTGAGGTTGTTGTACTTGTTCTTTCAATTTGATGTGCAGACTTGTATCATTCAATTTCTGAGGGAGGGAGGTGTGTAAGAAAGTTAAAATACCTGGAGAGGCTCATTTTCATCCGTGGAGCCAAGCATCTCATTCACAAGCAATTGGCGTTCAGAAGGACCTCCAAAGGTCAAACACTTCTCCACAACATTTGAGGCAAACTTCTGCTGACTCATTTGAACTATTTTGCCTGCTAATTCCTTGATAATAGCGGAACGCTCATGAGGTTTCCCATGTTCAAGTACATGCTATTATTTAAGAGGAGAAGATGAAACAAAAAAAGAAATCAGCTGACAAGTTTAACTGACATGCTAAATGGATATCATTTTACGTAATATAATAGTTTCATGTGTATGGAGTACAAAATACTGAGTGGAGAAAGGACTAGAAGCCTATATCACAAGAGAGCAAAATTTGGATGGCATGTTATAAGCATAAAGCAAAAAGGACTAGACTACAGATAATAGATAACGTAAAGCAACAAGATTAAAAAAAGAATTATAAGTAACAATTATGACTAAAGAGTACATGTTTTCCAAGAAATTCACAATAAACGAAGTATTAAATCACAAACATAAAAAAGTTTATAATTAATGAATTTTTTAATATCATTGACAAAGAGAATGCTTTATGTGATGAAGGTAAAACAAAGGAGGAGAAGACATTCATACACTAATAAAAAGAGTCAACTGACAGGATTGCTGTAAAAAAAATCCATATAAAGGGGAATAATTTCAGAAAAAACATGATGAGAGGAGAGTTATTAGGATTATACTCAACCAGAAGTGCAGAAAACCTACCAGAATCTCTATTATCACAAGAAAGCTAGATTGCAGCAGGGAATCCACAAGCAAAAAAATAAGATCAGGAAACCAAACAAAACATGATTACTGTATGACTTCCACTTCCTCATCAATAATTGTTGCAGTAAAAAGCCCAAACAGTTGGTCAGAATAAATTACAAACCTGGACAACATAGTTGCCATACTGATCCTGTGCTAACATGCTAACTGCTCCTAAAATCTCATCCATAGCTTTTTGCTGTGTGTTAGGGTCTTTGCAGTGCTCCAGTACTCTCTGCCATGCAAGAGATATTATAATATGTTAACAGATATCAAGTACATAAAACAGTTAACATAAGCACTTAAGTAATCTTACCTGTATCACCCGGCAACCATATGGATGGGTTGATAGTGTCACAACTTGATCAAAAAAAGTTGATACAATAAAGTTGATTGCATCTTCAGGGACACATTCAATACACTTCTGAATAACATGGTTACCATTCTGATCTCGTACACAGCGCATGACATTACCATCGAGCTCTTGAACCATTTTTATCTTCTGGTCCAGATCAACAACTTCTATGGCCTAAAGAAGCATCCAAATAGAAAAAGGATGACATATTATGGATACAAAGCCGTACATAGAAATATCAACTACTAGCACCCAAAGTTGTCCATACCTTCTGGATGACCCGACAACCATACATTTGAAGGCTAAGAGTCAGAACATGGCCAAAAAGCTTGTTGGCTAACTCTCTTCTCTGGGATGCAAGTCCATGCTCAAAAAACTGCCAGGTACAAATTGTCACTCTAACAAGATTCCTAAAAGAGAATCATTTGAGTATGCATGGGCAATAAAGAGAGACTAATAATTACCTTCTGAACCACATAATTACCAAAGACATCAGTCATCAAAGCAAGAGCATGTGGCATGATTTCCTGATAAACTATGTTTTTTTCTTCAGTAGTTGCTGTTTCAAGCTTTTGTTGAATAAACCGGCTCCCATATTGATCAGCACTGCCCATGAGAGAAAATTCATTGAAATTACTTCTTCAGTAGGCAGTAGGTTTATATAAAATTAAGCACCAAAACAACTAACGGGTGAAAAAACAAACCTGAATTCAACAACATGACCAGAAATTTCAGAAAGCTCAAAACACTTGGTCTTGTTGCTTTTAAACTCTTCCAACAGAGAAGAAGCAAAGCTTTCATCAATGTTCCCAGTATCTGGGTGCCAAGGTCCCATACCGCCAGTTAAATTCCTCATTCCAGAAGCAAAACGCATATTCAGGTCATTGTGCCTAATGGGACTGCCAGATCCAACTGGAGAAGTGGATAAAGAGTTTGCCATTGGACTTCCTGGGTAGGACAAGCCAATGCCATACGCAGGATTTCCATAATAACCATGATGATTGGTGCCACTTGATTTAGCCAGTGAAACACTGTATTGTGACTTTTGAGGTGAAGGCAGAGTCCCAAGATAAGCTTTCTGAAGCTCAAGTAAATTCATGTATGAGTTGCCAAAGTAGTTCCTGTCTGCAGACAGGTCATTCAGAGCAGCAAGTTGTGCAGCAGCATATTCAGATGTCCTCATGTACTGAAGATACATGGGATCAACAAAAGGAGCCTGAAGAGCACCACCTGCAATTTGATTTCCCATTCTACCATGACTGTGCATATCAGATGGAGCAGCAACTCCAGAGGCCAAACCGCCTCCAAGAATTCTTGTGTCTATTCCAGGGGCCATTGCTGATGCTGCAGCTACATTTTCAAATAGGGGTGGCAGATTACCAGTTCCAAGTTGGCTAGCCATCAAGGATGACAATGCTGGATTTCCAGCATACCCACTCAGGCCATAGTTAGTAAATGATGAATTGCTACCATCTAAAGACTGATACTGTGCAGGCAAAGCACCCCCACCACTAAAAGGGGAGGTAGGTGATCCCCTGAAATATGAGTTATTGGGAGGAACAGCAGACTTTTGTAGCTCAACTTGCCTATCCAAGGATGAATTATTAATGTCTGACCCACTCCCATTGCTCTTACCAGAATCAGAGTAAGCTGTATTATGCAAGTGTCCTGATTCAGATTTCTTTAAATATGCATGTTGCTTTCCATGATCCTGACCACCTTGCATACCAAAAAGATATCTCTGATAATTATCAACATCTGACTCAACCTGAGATGGGAAATGGTTATCGCCATCTAACACATCACATGCTGACAAATTCATGCCAGACAATGCAGCCACAATATCTTCAGATTCATTGATGCCAGATGAAACACCATTAAATGCATCAGGACTGGTAATACCTCTCTTCTCAGCAGCAACGGCTCTACCACCACCAATAGGTGTGGGGCAAGGACTGGGAGCCCTAGCAACAAGTTGTGGATCAGGTGTAGTGCTTCGTGACAAGGAAGAACCTAATGCAGCAGCATAGGTATATGAAGCTTGAGGGCCAATATTTTGGGATGCAGATGACCCCTGAACATTTGATCCAGTTCTTAAAGCATCAGTGGCAGAAGAATCATGGCGTAAATGAGTCAGTTCTGCTTCAGCAGAGGTTATCATCTCAACATTCTCATCAAATGCATTACGACTGGCTGGACGAGAAGGAAAGCCCGAGACAGAGTTGTTACGTCCCAAATCATCCTGCGCAATTACAGGTTATTAATGATGGGTAGAAGAAAAAGGGTACAAAAATAAAGAAATATAAAATACGGAAACATATATTTATGTATGAAATTCAGTGCAGAAAATCTACAGTTGATAGTAGCAAGCAACATACAAGATATAACTCATTAGGAAGCTTATTTTATTAAAAGAAGTTTATGAATAGTCATGCAAATTTCCAAAATTCAAAGAGAAATAAAGATTAAGCTGAACACATGAGAGACTGAAAGATATGAATTCAGCAATACAATCACAAAAGAAGCTGCAGGACTATGATCAACATATGCTCAGAAGCTTCAATAATGTAACATTACAAATGTGCCAATAACAAATTTTTTTGGAAGTGCTGAATGTAAACCCCACACACAGCCAAGTCAATTGACTCCGAAGTTATTCAACTTGTCTGTGGTCTGATAGGTTTCAATGTGCCCAAAAGATTATACAGTGGGTACAATAGAGCAAGGTACAGAAATGTAAGTATCAGTATTTCAGCCAGTATGAAACTAAAAAAGGTCAAGGTCTAGTGGAAAAACAAGAAGGGTCTGAAAATCAGAAGAAGTTGAACAAAAACAAAAAAGCTTCACGTGAATTTTATACTGCCATTTTGCAACACCACAAGCACTGGAAATAGAAAAAGTACATGCCACAGAGGCATGTTAACATTTGGCGTTAAATGAATCAAACTTTAATTCCCACAGGATTAAACCACATGTTCAAACATCAGAACACAAAATATGCATCAATCAACTGTATGTTCAATCTCGGAAACCAGTATCTTATGATGTGTCAAAGATCAAAGTGAACACACAAATATGAAACATCATACAATTCAGGGAAAAAGAAACAGATGCAAGACAGTAAGGCAGCCAAGGAAACAAAAAATAAAATAAAAGACAATGAAAGAAGCAAGCCACCTGAAAAATTTCTGCAAGGCTCTTTTGTTTGCTCCCAAGACCTAGGCCTGGCAAACCAATGAGTCCATCACCACCCCACTCAGCGGACCCTCTCATTTTTTCATTATCCACCTCACTCTCTTGTTTCCTCAAGTTAAAACCTGGCGGGGTTGCAAACAATGATCTACCACCATTATCATCACCCTTAACCATTTTTCTCCTATCTCCAATTCCACCAAGAACAGAAGCTCCACCTTTTACTCTCTGATTAAACCTCCATTCCTCCTTTGAAAGCAAAGGAGGCGGAAGACGAGGATTCAAATTCACATTCGAATAATAGTATGAAAGATAAGCCGGATCAGACCTAAGCTCTTCCTCAGAAGCAAAACCATTCCCATGATTAGCCCCGGAAAACTCAGAAAAAGCAGCCACAGCACCACCACCACCACCACTACCACCACCAAATAACCCTCCAACTGCACTCAGAGAACCCTCCACAGTTGGAGGCGCTGATCCACTCCTATACAAATTGAGTTCGCGTTCGTGATCATCAGCCTCTGGTCGTCGTTGCTCACGAAGCAACATCCCTATCTCCTTCTCCAAATCATCTCCAAAGGAACCCTCGTTACCACCAAGCATCGGCCTCGTCCCTAATTCAGACAACATTTTCAAAATCTCAAATTGATCATCTGGAGTTTCACCAGCTAAAACCTGATCACTACTACCCCTTACCAGAAACCAAAACCTAAGCCGCTAAACAACTCAAAAATCAAAACTTTCCACATCAAAGCGCCGAAGCCCCATATTTACAACTTCAGAAGTTCTCACTTATAACTACTGGGAACAGAATTAAAATAACAATAATAGTAATAGTAATAAAGTATCTCCATGAAAACTACGCCCAAGTCATCCGTGGAGCTGAAACGAAAACTGAAGAATCAATCAGCAAAAGATTGAGGAATTTAATTTAAGCTCCGCCGAGTAGGTTTCCATAATTATAGACAATAAATTGCTATTATTAATCAACAAGCACAAAATTGACGTGAGAAAGCGAGGCAAAAGAAGAGAAAGTGGCAAAGGTGCAGTGATGAAAAAGGAAAGAAACGAGAGAGTAGCGATGTTATAGATGAATCCGGCGGCGATTGGTTCTTACAAGAACCCTTTTTAGGGTTTTGTTTGTTCTGTTTTGAAGAGGGTTATATACAAATACAATGATAGCAAACACAACCCAAATTTATTTGATTATTTCTTTTTAAACTTCCAAAAGTTACCATTTTGTTTCACAGAAATATCTAAAATATTATATTTATTTCCTAAAAATTAGGGGCAATTGACCGAGTGATAACCGACTGACGTAGTGGTATTGCCATGTTTGGAACAGAGAGAGATTGTTTCCTTATTATTTTCACTGGTAAATGGTAATGCAAAGACAAATAACCTTCGAGCAACTGACGCGTAGCATTAATAGATTCGGTAGTTGAATAAAAATAGGTCAAAATACAAAAAAGTTAAACTAAATTCGCCGCAGTTAAATTTCTTCAATTGCCCACTACTCTTTCTTAACCCCTTTTTTTTATGAATCACAAATATTTTTTTACGGAGTTTGGAAAAGATTCAAGATTATAGCTTCAAGGGAGCGTTTGGGAGAGGAGATATTTTTCTTATCAAAAAAATTATTACTGGATAAGATAAGAAAAGTTGTGTTGGCGTTCCTATGCTGTGGACAAATTATTTTATCATCCCTTGGATGACAATGTTTCATAATGATATCAGTGCAAAAGATGTTTTCCGACAAAAAAATTTTGTCATTCACTTTTTTATTTTACTCCTATCAAACATGGCTACATTATTTTTCTTGCCCAACTCTCTTGGGCAATTTTTTTCTCTCCTGTTAAACACCCCCTAAACTTTTTTAAATGAGAAAAATCTAACATATGTTTTCACTCTTATTCCCTCAATTCTTATATGCCAACTGAATTTGGTAACAACTCCTTCTTCATATGCTACTTCACTTGGTTTTTCTTCTACTTTTTGGGATCTAACATTAGAGTAAATTTGTGAATCGTCTCGTGGAAATTTTTTAATGTGGTCCAGGACCATCATGGTTCTTCCACAGAAAAATTGACACCTGGATTAAAAAAAAAATCTTTCTTCTCTCACCTCTCTCCTCAACATTTTCTCTCTTTCTTTCACCATAGTCCCACCAAATATTTTATGCTCCAGGAGTACACAAACTTCCCTCCGTCTCGTGACATGAGATAATATCAAATAATCTAAAGAGAGATAGCATTAGTAAATTGGATAATATAGTACATTGTAAGAAAAAAATCATTAATTTATGGGAAAAATATTTCTACAGATAAGTTATCTGCATTTATTCTGAAAACGACGTTGTTTTTGTATTGAAATCTTAAAAAATATAAATATAAAGACTATTATAACCCTAAAATAAATTAAAATTACAAAAATATCATGATTTCTGCCCAAAACAACATCGTATTGGGCTTACTGCATATAACTTATATGCAGTAAATGTAGAAAAAGCGAACCCTTAATTTATTTATTGATGGCTCGAATCTTTTTGAAAGATCTCATGTGTTATAAATTGTTAATTTAGTTGTATAGGCACTTAATAGAACTTCTTAATGAATGTTTTTAAGGTATTAATTAGGAATATAAAACCATTAAAAAAATTTCTAATAAAATTTTTACTTTTTAGAAAAAAAAATATAACGTGATTACTTTTTTTAAATAAGTAAGTAATAGCATATTTAATCTTAAATTTTATTTCCATACAAATTGCAGAGTATATTAAAATATAGCTTTATTTGCTTTAAAAGAATCTTAAATTTGTTGGATAAACTGATAATGAGTTTGTGCTTAATAATATATAGATAAGTGTGTAATGTAAATAGTTAATTAGAGATAATTTTGTTTTAATTTTTAAATAAAAAATATTTTGTTTAAAATTTTTATGATAAATATATAATTTTAAAAATATAATTTTATTTTAATTATTATAATAAATTAAAAATATAACTTTAAAAAAAAGGTTAAAAAAAACATATCATAAAATATTTTTAAAAAAAATTATCCTGAATACCCTTAATTAATATTATATGTTTATTAATTATCATATACGGACACTGTTAGATAAGAACCGGCAGGTTTGTTTCCAACATACTCTCAGGGAGGGCAACATGTGCGTTGACTGGCTAGCCAATTTCTTGCTTGATTCTCCTAAACAAGCTGACCAAAGATTTGGACTGGAGCCTCCTAGTCGTGTTTTATTGATTTATCTAGGGGATCTAGCATCTGTGGGAAGGGAACGTTTTGTGTCTCTTCCTGGATAGTTCTTTTGTTTTTTCTTTTTCTTTTTGTTTGGGCTTGTGCTTTTTAGTTACCATATATATATATATATATTGTTTTTGGACTCCTCCTAAGGGACATGGTTCAAATAATTATTAAAAAAAATTAAAATTTAGGGGGGAGTTATATGAGTCTTTAAGTAGAATCAATGTTATTAAAACTGGCTTGGCCATTGACCCGGTCGAGGTACTTGGTCACTGGTTCAACCACATGACTCGGTAATTACATGTAATTCTATAATTTATATTTTAAAAAATTATAAACATACTCAAATATCTAAAAAAAATGATAATTTTTTTAAATATTTTAGGGTTCGTTTTCTCTGCAGTCAATGTAGATAAGTTATCTACATTGAATCCAAAACGATGTTGTTTTGGGACGGAAATCAAGGTATATTTGTAATTGTAATTTATTTCAGGGTTATAATAGTCTTTTTGTTTATACTTTTTTAATATTGCAACTCAAAACGACGTCGTTTTGGGAATGAATGTAGATAACTTATCTACATTAAATGTAGAAACATTAAAGCCAATATTTTAATATAAAAAATAAAAAATCACATATTATTATCCAATAAAGGATCAAACAAAATATATTGATCGTGATACGAGACTTCAGGTTCAGTAAACGACATCTTAACTATAAATCAAATCAAAAAAAATTGCATAGTGCATAATTGAGATAATATTAGTGTTGTAGGTACATAACTTATGTGAGTCAATAAGCAAAAAAATATTCAAATATGTCCATTATTTATTTATTTTTTGAAAAAAAAAATTGAATTTTTTTTTTTTAACCTGGCCGGGTCACTGATTTTCATGAAAATCGCCCAGGTCGCATCGATTCTAATGCATGACCGGTACGTTGCTTCAACCGGACCGGTTATATCATCATTGTAGAATGATTGATCTCATTGTAATTTTTTAACAATTAAAATTAGCAACATGTCTCTTAACTTGTTCCCCTTTTTACCGTATTTTTTCATCATGATTCTACTTTATTTTTTTCTTAGCTACACTACAAAAACTTACCATGCCTTCAAGATCAAGATCGTGAGTTTTCTGGCAAAAAAAATTAAAATATTATTTTTTTAATAAATAATTACAAATAAATTGTTGTTTTGAACTTAATTATGAATATACTGCACTCATTCACGCCCAAATTGGGCATGACCATTCACGCCTTAATTAGGCGTGACTCCCAAGACATCCACGCCCAAATTGGGTGTGACCCTTCACACCTTAATTACGCGTGATTCCCAAGACATCCAAGCCTAAATTAGGCATGACTCGTCTGGTATTGACACGTAGTATAAAAAGTTAACAGTTCAATCGCAAAACTTCATAAGGCGATAACTTTTGACTCGGGTATCCGAATCAGGTAATTCTTTTTTTGATTCCACATAATTTTTTGACATCTACGCAATGACATTTCATTTGATATATTTTATCTCTCACAAACACAATTCAAAATTTGCAATAATGGTACTATAAAGATAGCACCAAAGTAGATTAGCTCATTTATAAATAAGGATACTTAATGTCATATTAAAATTTATACTTCTACCAAGTGTTTGAAAAAAAAAATAGTGTACAAAGTTATTGAATTGCAATACGTATCGTGTATCGTTTGGCCAATTTTTCATATCGTGAATCATATCGAATCGTACGATATAGAAATATAATAAAAAATAATTTATAAATATATAACTTTTTTATGACGTTTATCGAACCGTATCATAAGTTACATCCTTCTGTTTTATGACTTTTTTTCTTTAAAGCCATTTAAATTATGTATGCCTAAGAGAAAGAAAAAATAAATACATTTAAAAGAAAAATTAAAAAGGGACTAATGAGTATAAGAAAAGAAAATTAAACCTTAAATCGAACCATGAACTCTAAAGTTTGGAAACGTCTCCGATACAAAACAGTGGCTGAGTCTTTATGGCTAGATTCGTTGGAAGCTTGTAGCCTATGAATAGTTTTTAAAAATAAAATCCTTCTTCTTTAGAGATTTATAATATTTATTTAATTATTTTCTTTATTAATACAGATTTTTTAAATTGATTTTTGAGTTTAAATCAAAAATCAAAACTTTATTTTGTTTTCCTTATTAATATTAATTTTTTAATTTTTTTAATTTAAATCACAAAAAAAATATTTATTTATTGTTTATATTAAAAAAAATTATTCTTTTTTAATTTAAATCACAAATCAAATCTTTATTTATTATTTTATATTAAACACAAACCCAGAACTCAGAGGCTTCTAGGTTTAAACGCTCTTAAAATATCATTATTGCAAATTTGAATTGTGTTTGTGAGAGATAAAATATATCAAATGAGATGGCATTGCGTAGATGTCAAAAAGTTATGTGGAATAAAAAAATTTACCCGATTCGGATATCCGAGTCAAAAGTTATGACTTTCCAAAGTTTTACCGTTCGTAAGTTGACTTTTGTGTGCCACGTGTCAACATCAGACGATTCACGTCTAAATTAGGTGTTAATGCCTTGAGAGTCACGCCGAACTTAGGCGTGAATAGTCACGCCTAATTTGGACGTGAATAAATACAATAGATCCGTAAATAATTTCGAAATAACTATATATTCATAATTATTATTAAAATAGTAATATTTTAATTTTTTTTGCCTGAGTTCCCTTCTTTAATATCTATCTCTCATAAAAATACTTCTCCTTCTTCTTCTTTTTTTCTTTTTTTTTTTTTTTATTGGTGTATAATGGGCAAATAGTCTTATTTACTCAATAACAAGAAAAAGGGCAACAACGAACTTTACAACATTATTTTTA